GATTGGGCTGAAGATTCGTGGCTATCGTGCAAGCTAAAAGCATCGAAGAAACTTAGTGTAAACAGAAAGAACGGCCTCACTCGTAAGACCAAGTGTCTGACCAAGTTCACTTTCCACCCCTTCGCAGGAAAAGGGTCACCCGCTGAAAGCGAAAGCTCTGGGGATTTGAAAGAGCACCCGGCAGGCATTCTGGGTTCAGGGGCTTTCTCCCAGCACTCCCACCCACACCCCGCTTCAGAGTCCGTCGCAGGACTCGGTGACCCAGGGTGCCCAGTGCGGGCTAGCTTCCCGGCGCTCTCCTCGTCCCGTGCTGGCTCCTCAGCGCCCTGAACTCACCCTGCACACGGTCGGTCCACTCCCTCCGGACTGGAAACGGGTCCGAGTCGGGCAACTCTGGAGGCCACGTCTCTGCAACACCAACCCACACCGCAGCGCTTGCCTAAGTTCGGGATCCAGAGGAGCCTGAGTCGGGCAGTCGCGGGCAGTGGGGGCAAGGAGGCACCGGGAGAGCGGCAGCCTCGCAGCCTCCAGCTGGGTTGCCGCTTTCTTATGGAAATAACCCGCGCCAGCCTGCTGGACCCGAGCGGGTCCCCTGGTCTCCAGTCCTGCTCCGCTAAGCTTTTCCTCCCCGCAAACCCTCGTCTTCCGCATCTTACCCTGGCGGGACGGGTGGGGATGAGTTAGCTGTGCGCCCCGGCCGCAGAGAGCGGGCCGGGTCTCCCTCTCGGCCCGACGGGCTTCAGCTCCGCATTAAATATTCATAGCAATCGCTACTTTCTTAAAGGGGAATCCACCGCGCGGGAAAGTTCCCAGTCAAGGGAACTCACAAAGGAAGGTGTCCGCTCCCTCTAGTCCTAGGGGTGGCCGGGGCGCACAGCTCCTAGTGCTCCGACCGACGGAGAAGTGAAGGACCAGAGTACCCGCTCGCCTACTGTCAAGACATTTCTTGTACCGTGTAAGGGAAGAGGTGAACAGTGGAAAGCTGATCACTCCTTACATAATCATTTGAAAATGAGTGGGTCACACTTCTAACGCCTCAGGGTTTCCAGGGCCTTTCGTTTTTTTTCTTTCATTTCATGATTTTAAAAGGAAGGTGGCTTGACTTCACTCGGGCATCATCGGCCCCGGGGACAAGAAAGTTTGTCCTGTCTTGTTGGAAACAGGCACTCAGCGAACTTACAAAACCTCACACTGAGAAACCATTTCACTGGAGAGCACCTGCCCCAAGTTCTGGAAGAAAGCCGGGGCTGGTGTGCAGAGCTGGGGCTTGAGGGATCAGAACCCGTGTCGGGTGAGCGTGGGGAGGATCGATCTGAACCCCAGCTCCACTACTCAATTCCCGGCCTCTTTCTTCCAGAGCTCAGAGGGCCTGGCATGGTGTGCGGTCCCCGGGCTTCTTGAGGCCGAAACCCATCTGCTTGACTCCAGAGCCGGGCCCAGGAGAAAACCCGAGGTGGGAAATGGGGAGGAAGCAGCGAAAGTTCTGGGCCCGCGGCGGAGGAGGCCCTGCCTGGGATGCACCCCCGCCCGGGGCCAGCTGACCCGTGACTGCTCCTCGTGGTGCCAGGCGACGCCCGCGCCTTGTGCCCCCCTCCCCACCCCACCCCCTCTCCGCGCACGCCCACTCCACACACTCTCACTCCCAACGGCTCTTTTTGTTCCGGGCCAGGAGCACTTTCACAAATGGTTAGAAAGTCTTGAGCGCCATCTAACGGGAGCAGCAAAAAGCTGAAAGTGGGTGGAGGTTAAGACCCCAGGCTGGCGTGGGAGGGTGCCTTCTCCAACTCCACCCGCACTCTGGAGCTTTGACACCCCTCCCCTGACTCCTATAATGTATAACTATCGGACTCTGGAACTCCAGACTTGCCCTCCCACTTCCCCGAAGCTCACCTTCCCAGGGCCCTGGGGCAGCTGTGGGCTGCTTGCTTGGGGCCTTCACTCCAGGTTGGACTGCCTGCCTGGCTCCTTTGGACACACCTGCCTAAACAGGGCTCCTCCGGTATCATCCAAAGTCTTCAGCGCTTTCGTTTGGGCCAGGGATAGAAAGTCCCACGAATTCGGGTGAGGTGCACCGGTTTTCTGAAATGAAAACCCTGAGCCGAAGCTTCTGTAGATAGAAGGATGAATTAATAGCAGCCAATGGAAAGCACGTGTGTAAATGAGAGATTTAGCCTAGCAGTGACCCTATAAGAGCTGAAGCTGGTCTCCAGGGAGAAAGGTGGATACTGAAGAGCTACCCTGGGATTTGAGAGGGACCAGTCTGGCGGCATCCCACAAGAGATGCAAGGCAGAAAAACCCACTGGGTATCCTGGGCAAAGGACACTGCCCCAGACAGGAGGTGTAGCTGAGATAGCGTGTGATAATAGGCTTTTCCTGGGGAGATGCAACAGGTAGGTATCTACTCACCCCAGAAAGGGAGCCCACTATAGACCAAAGTAAGGATTGCCAAATTGTGCAATTTGGTGAATCAATTGAGTTTCTCTCTTAGGTTGGGGTTACTAATAGGTGAGAGGTTAGTTACAAGGAGGGGGTGGTAACTAAAAGGCAGTAGCATCTTAGGAAGCCAACCCCCAACAGGAGAGACCTGAACACTTGGATCTCTCTCTGCAGCTTGCAGGCATCTCACAGTGGGAACATCTCCTTCTCCGAAGTTTGGCTGGTCAGAGCCCCGATGCCCAGCAACTGTTTACCTCCTTTTTTTAAAATCTCCCCTACAATGTAAACTGATGCTTGTGAGCCTTGCCTTCTCTTCTGAAGGGAAAGGTTTCGATTTGGAGGGAATAAAAAAGGGCATTCACACATCTACCGCACCACCCCCCCAACCCACGGAGGATTCCTAGCCAATATGAGAGTCATGGGAGGTTCAAAATGGAGTCCTCCTAGTCAGGGCAGAATATACTGGAAGGTATCCTGGAGAATATGTAGGTGGGTGGCAGAAAGGCTTGGCCAGCTGAGAAACCAGGAAGAGAAGAAGAGGTAACCACCAGGCCCAAATCATTTGCCAGTCACAATAGCTGCTGTGACCCCTGAGGCTTAAACAGCAAAGGAACCTTCTCCACACTTCAAGCCCCAAACAAAACAAAGCAAAAACAAAAACAAGAACAAAAAGGAAAAAACAAAAAGCTTTAGAGATGGGCAGTACAAAATTTCTCTGGCCACCTTCTGGAGTCTACAAAGGTCATTAGAAAACTTGTTTCTCCTCCTTGGTGGGCGTTATAAAGGTGCTAAAAGTTATGGTGGTAAAATATATACAGCATAAACATTTGGCATCTTGATTTGTTTTTGTTTTGTTTTTCGAGACAGGGTTTCTCTGTGTAGCTTTGCGCCTTTCCTGGAACTCACTCCGTAGCCCAGGTTGGCCTCGAACTCACAGAGATCCGCCTGCCTCTGCCTCCCGAGTACTGGGATTAAAGGCGTGCACCACCACCGCCCCGCAACATCTTGATTCTTTTAAGTGTATGCACGGCAGTCCAGTTGGAGGATGCACGTTCACATTGCTGAGCAACGTCACCAATCTCCATTTCCCCGCGGTTCTCACCTTGCCAATATGAAAGTCTATATCCATTACATTGTAATTCCTGTATCCCCTTCACCCAGCCCCTGGCGAGGGCTACAGATTTGGCTTCATATTAATAGAACATGCAACATTCATCTTGTTCTCTGATTTATTTGACTTGGTGTGATGTCAAGCTTTTATCCGTGTTATATCATGTCCCAGCATTTTCTCCCCTTTCAAAGCCCATTTTGCTTATTTATCCATCTATTGATGGATTCTTGGTTTTCCTCTCCCTTTTTTTGTGAATAGTGATGCTATGTGCATAGGTATGCAGAAACCTCAAGTTCCTGTTTTCAACTCTTGGGTCTATACCCAGAGACAGAATTGCTAGGGACTCTGATAATCCTCCCCAGGACTCTCTGAGGAGTCTCCATAGCGTTCCCACAGCTGTTGTATCATCATCATCCACAGTCCACAGAGATTTCCAGTTTCTTCACAGCCTCCCCCACACTTGCCAGTTTCTGTCCTTCTGCAAACAGTAGCCATTGTAACTGCTATAAAGTAACCGCTCAAGCAGTTCTAAAACATTGCTTTTTCTCCTTTTCTTTTGAGATAAACGGACTTCAAGCTTTCATCTCGCCTATCTTTATCTCCAAAGTACTGGGGTGCCCATCTTGAAACATTTTTAGATGTAAATCTAAAAGCATAATGGACACTGAGCACGGTGACAAAAGCCTGTAATCCTTGCACTCTGGAAGCAGAGACAGGACAAATTCACTGTAACTCCAAGCCAGCCAGCGCTACATAGAGACCCAGCATCAAAGAAACAAAATCAAACCCAAACCAAATCCACAAAGAAACCTGAAACAAAATGAGATGACACTACCAAGGCAGTTGATATAATATCTATCTATCGATCAATCAATCGATAGATTATAGATAACACACACATATATCTAATATATTTATTAGTACTAGAGAGTGAACTCAAGACCTCATGCATGCTAGACAAACACTACCCTTGAGCTTTATCCCCCAAACAGGCTCTTACTATATTGCCTGGGCTGGCCTTGGGCTCTCACTTTGAAGCCCAGGCTGGCCTGAAATGTATAGCCTCCCAAGTGTCTGGGAAAACAGGTTTGTATCAAAAGCCCGTTGAACAATGCAAAGTATCCATAGGTTATACCAGTGAAAATATCTCAAGAATGATAAGGATTTCCAGTCTCTGACCTTTGGAAATCAGGTCTAGAAACAGGAAGAAGAGAAACGATTAAGATAGAGGAGCAAACAGAATGAATATTTTTTTAATGATCACATTTTGATCCATCCTTCCAATCAGAAGCCAGAGAATTGTGGGGGCGTATTATTAGTAAGACCTGTTCATTTCTTTGTTCCTAGAAGGAGACCTTTCTGAGGTAGAGAGGATTGGGGGGGGGGTTACTCATCTTCCTATATTCTTTGATGTATTCAAATTGAAAATGAGAGAGACTGCTAGTGGCCCAGACTTTGGCTGTGTGGGTGCCTGGTGGAAATCTTTGAAGTCCCTTTTTCCTAGAAAAGAGCCGAGAAATGGCAAGATGGCAACTATATATTCAGGAGACTCGACATTCTGTGGCAGGGTTCCCAGTACAGAGTCCCTCACCACGGTCCTCAGGACTGTGCTTGCGGTAACCCCGTGGCAGCCTTGTTTAGTGTTTGTGTGAGGTATACCAACAAAGCGCCCTATTATTCTTTTATTTTCCCTTTTTTTATATTAGTCATTTCTTTTTACAGCCTGGGGAGGCAGGTTAGTGTTTTTATTTCCCACATGTAAGGGAAGGCATCGAGAGTGGGCTTCCCCGAAATAAGAAATGGAAACAGCTGTGGTGACGGGGTCGCGGCTGGGGGCTTCCAGCCTGGGCTGCAGCTTGGCCTACTGAACTACACTGTTCTTTTACCTCACGGGGTGGTTGGAGTCGGGCAGAGATGAAAGAAAGCAGAGCAGCCAGCGTTGGCAGTGGCCGCTACCTCCTCTCTGCCACCAGGCTGACTGCACCACTGGCCGGGGTGGTGAGGACTCTGTGGCAGGGTGAAGGAAGCTGGAAGTGGGTTGGGAGCCCCCTTGGGGCAGGAGGTAGTGGAAGCTGTTCCTAGTACCTCAGTTCTGAGCATTTG